CTGGAAGATACAAAGGATATTGGTCTTCTGTTCACTCCCCTCCTGAAACCAGGAGGCATTTCGCTTTCCCGTGCAACGTCTCGATTAGGTTCCTTTAGAAAATAACATTTTTCTAAAAATTAATTTGCTTTTTAAAGATCATTTCACAAGCCTACACTGACATTCCACAGGAGCGGGATGTGCTACTGCCAAACCAGATAATCCACACCACGGAGTCTTGACAATATCTGCTCACAGGACTTTGAAAGCAGAGCTGCGGGGGCTACTCGTGGCCTGTGGGCTAAGGGAATTTAGACTAGCAATGTTGCCAGGATACTCTTTGCTGATTAGGAATTAATTTCAGATCCTCACTCCCATGATAAATTTTGTGCACTTTCACATAGGTATGATCTGGAATATATAAATACTACAGTGACACGTTGGAGAAAAGGATTGGCGAAAGAACTGCACACATCTGTCAGATTTTCATCTTTACCTTGAATTATTTTTGAATTAACCTTTCTTTTAATCTACAAGCTTCTTGCTTGAGGCAAAACAGTCTTTACTTCACAAAACCATCTGCCTGGTTTCAAGACTTTCATGTCAATGGACAGACCTAGAATAAGGCACCATGTAGCGATAGGCAATTTGACAGGAGCTTTGACAAATTGGAGATAAATTACATGAACATAAAGAACATACCATTGAGTGCTGAGCGATATACTAATTATATTTTTGTGCTTTATAAGTGAGAGACAGCTAAAATGGAAGGCAAAGTCACCAGTCACTCTAGCTGGGAGGTGCACTGAGAGCGTTGCATACTTCATCAGACATTCTGGAAGTTTGAGTTTGAAGCTTTCAGAAAAAAACAGGCCTTTAATAAGCTAAAACTTTTTGTGTGGAATTTTCGTATACCTCAAACAAAAGAAATGAATGGAGAGTAAAGCAGGTTCTCTGTCAGGCAGTAGCACCTGCATAACAAGTGAAGTCCTCCCATTGTTATTACCGTTTCTTTTAATATTATTAAAACTAAAATCAGCTAGCTTGTGCAGCAGTAAACTCCAACCTTAAATCTAGTGCAAAATGTGTCAATTGTTCTTAATGTTTTTCATAGAATCATAGAATATCCTGAGTTGGAAAGAACCCACAAGGATCACTGAAGTCCAGCTCCTGGCCCTGCACAGGTCAGCCCCGCGAATCACACGATGTGCCTGAGAGCATTGTCCAAACTCTGAATGTCTGTGTGCTCTAGAATCCACTTCTGAAGGGGGGGGAAGAAAATGCACTGTTTGCCGTGTTTATGGGTTGTTAGCAGAGTTAAATAGCAGACACACCCCCCCTGCTCTTTCTCCAGAGCAATGTGCCCTTAGTGGGATCACACGCAGGGGGTCAGTGTGAGCTGCCACGGGGGCACTTGGGAATTCAGGAGGATGTCAGAAGTAGCTGGTACCAGACAGGAAGTGTCTGAACTGAGAAATTAAGGTTGCAAAACAAGTGTAAACAGAGCATGTTTCTATATTTTATAGTGTTCCCATTATCCATCCCTTCTAGGCGGGCAAGGCTTTTGTTCTCTTTGTCTTGCACGTGGCACAGCGAGGCCTCGGTCTGTGGTAGGAGCTTCTCAGTACACATAAATAACAGTGTTTCTGTTCCTCACTGAGCAAATTTAACTAAGAATGCTTTCTTCAGAAATGCAATATGGAGTGAACAGACCATGAAAACTGTCACTGGGCTTTCTTCTGTAATCTATCAGGTTTTATGTGCTGTTCCTATAGTACTGGGTTTAGCTATAACATCTCACAGGGGCACTTTTCAGAGATACACCCTGTTTTTATTTGCAATTAGAGCTGTTATCACTCTCCTTAAATAATGCATTTCATAATTTAAAGCAGACAGGGAAAGCTACACAAACATGAACTTAAATGTATCTCTACAACACTCCTGCAAGGAAGTTTAAAATGATGATATTGTTGTTACTTTCATTGCTAAATCAATGTACCAAATACAGTAATCAAATTTTAGATGGGGGTTACCAAAGGAGTTTTCAGTGAAAATTGCTTACAGTATTTGGCATTCAAAGTTTGTTTATAATCTGCTAAGCATTTGGCAAACATTAAAAATACACCTATTTTTATGATGTCTTCTAAATAGAATATTTTTTCCAGGTCTTTACATTCCACAATTATTATGCTATTAATTTAGAAGAGATGGTGGTGGAGTAAAATGAAAAGGGAATGAAGACTCACTCCTAAGTATTCCTGCAGTCAACATGGTATACAGATCCTTATCCAAAAGTTGCTGGGGATAAGGAGTGTTCTTTCACTGTTTTCACATAGATTTGGATTTTATCCACTGAGAAAAGTTAGAAACCCTTTGTTTAGAAATGGTGTAAGGTGCTACAAAGAATGAAAGGAGAAAAGAATTAGGTGGAATCTTACTTGTCTCCTGGACACAATGAAGACCTTTAAAAAACCACTACATTTCTAAAAACTTTTGAGAAAGTGCAAATCTGGATTTAAATAATTTGAAGTGCCTCTTACCTGTCTTGATGACAACTCCAGGTATAACCTTCCCTTAGAAGGGAGAGAATACAAACAGCAGAATTATTAAAATATGAATAAAATATCAGAGCCTAGACTCATCTGTTCACAAGTATCTCATCTTTGTTTAAAAAATTGATATTCTATTTAAATACATATTTTATAATCTATTGAATCAGGGTCAAATTCTGTAGTGCTTACCCAAACCTCATTTCCAGACACAGTGTTTAGCAATGCTAAACAGGTTTTTTTTAAATTCATTTTTTTACTTCAAAAAATATTTGGTGTCTGGCACGAAACTTCCTTCCTAAGGTTGTATGAAATATATTGAACTGATGGGTGTTGCCTTAAGGCAACATTTCAAATGCTATTTTGAAAAACATTCATAACAGCAGACACATATTTCAGTTCACATAATTTATTGGTTTCCTTCCTCAGTAATTGCCCCTCGGATCTTGCAGCTCCAGTGTAAAATCCTGGTGCTCTAATAGAGGTCACTCTCAGTGCTTTCCATAGACTTCAGCTGAGTTAGTTTAAGCCACATTTACTTATTTTGCAAACAAATTATACACTGCTCCGTGCATGTTTATCTGCACTTACATAAATGGATCAATTAATAGAATAAGACCTCCCAGAATTCCTGGTTCTCAAGAAAATGTATCCTGACTTGCTGAAACATTCCTGTATTCTCAGCAACCAAAGCAGTTTAATCAGACAAATGAGCATGACTGCCTTCAAGAGCAGAAAAAAAAGGAGTTGAAACAGAATTTGGACAAAATTCATACAGAAGTCAGTGAACTTTTATTTTAGCAACTGCTAAGTAACAAGGATGTGGGAAAAGGAGCTTATAATTCAATCCCATATGTGACAGAAAAATTTGTGTTTCATTATCGTGCTCAAATATTGCATTGCTAACAAACCTAGACTGCAGTGTATGGGAGTGGCAAACACCTGTCTGGTAGTTAAGCTTTTTTAAGTTACTTCCCTTTCACTCTTTTAGTGTGCTCATCGTGCTCTTATTTTCTCTGGCAGCAGCATTCCCACGTAGCTGTGCCTTTTGCTGCTGTGGGTTGTGCTGGAGAACGAGTCTCTTTCCCTTGCCCTTCAGCCTGTCACGGTGCTGGGAACGGCTGGGGCCCCTCATTAGGCAAACCCGGCATCTGCTGGCCCCAGATGCTGATCACTGGGAGGATTTTTTTCTTGAGGTAACATATGGACTTTAAGATCCCTGTGTGCTTTACTGGTTCCTTTCTGTATCTCTCTACTTTTTCACAAAAAGCTGATAGAGTATTAATGTTATTTTCCCAGCAACTTCTTGTCCTGTTAGTCTCGTTTTGTGTGTACCGGTCCACGCTTTCTTTACATTGATATTTATGGATATATGGAGAGTTCTTTAGTGGCTGGAAATGTTCTAGCAGAAAGTAGAAGTTCTCTGGAGTAAACCACACCTGGTAAAGCACATTATTCCTCTCTTACAGCATCTTGGGGTATTGAATATGGCATAATAGGGCACTCTCTTCTCTTTGTCACAACACTGCATCAGTTTGTGCTGACTGGGAATGGAACCTGCTGGTGCAGACACCAGCAGCGACTGAGAATAGCTAGGTGGGCTTACAGGCAATGCATGCCAAAAGGAATTGATGTAAAGGTTGCCCTACTGATCTGAGTATGAAACAAAACTCCAGCTAATATGCTGCTGCATTAGCGGAGTCACAGTAGAAGGATATGGGACTTGTGTGAAAAGGTATTGTTGATTTACACTGAAATATGTTAGAGGGAAATCTTTCCAGAATAACTTGTTTGTTGGAAAGTTTTGTGGAGTTCAGACTAATTCCTTTGGAACTGCCATCAGTGCCACTACAGTGCTGTATTTCAACAACTCTCACTTTTGTTACAGCTGTGAACCTTTCATAGTTTTTTTGTCCTTAGGATGTCAGACATGAAAGGGAGGCAGTGTCATGCTGTTCATGAATTCTAGGTGCCTTGATCCTTGATCACTTTGTTAAATCATTAGAAGGAGGTCCCTCTGGGAATTATCAAAAGTCTCTGAAGAGTCACTTATGAAAATGAATGTACCTCTCACATAACATATATCACTTCCAATCCTGTCTCAAGTCAGGCTTCTCTCTGAAATGTTTCCGAACGTTAATCAGTAATCAGGGCACAGATTGGCACATGCTGCTGGGCTTTGAAGCTATTCCTATCCTATGATTTGTCACATCCTTAGTAGTACTTTGCATGATTTTCATACATATCCTATTAGACTTTCTTGCTTAAGGACTTTAGATTTCAGCAAAATACTTGACAGCACCCAACTGTTGGACATTGCTGAGAGTTTCACATTAGCTGAGTACAAGGTGTCTCTTGACAGCTCCAGTTGACTGGAGGATTGAGAAGTTGTGCTGCTCGTCTCTGCTGTGACATCACTGCTGGGGAGCTCTTCCCAATGTCACTGCAGATCTGTGCTTCCTACACCGGGTGCTCTTCTGTACCCCAGCTTTTCTTTCCATTTGCTTGACAGGAGGCACCCCAATATTCTTTGCTGTGTGGAGTTCAGGACAGCTGCTGCCACGGGGTGGGCAACTAGTTTTCTTATGATGTAGTGAGTTTTCTTCTCTAAATGAAAGGGTGTGAATCCTAAGAATGGTTTATTGTTAGACCCGGTTGATGTTTCTGTGTAAGCACTGATGGCAATAACTAAAACATACCTGTGTTATCAACTCTGTTTTCTGCAACAAATCCAAAACATAGCTCCATACTAGCTGCTATGAACAAAACTACTCTATCACAGCCAAAAGCAACATAGTATATTTTAAACTCCTTAAAGAAGCGTTTAAATACCTCAAAATTAGAAAAATCACTTTCTCTGGTCTAGTTATAGTCATTCATCCTGGGCAAATTCTCTGCAGGTTTTTTTTGTTTGTTCTGGTTTTGTTTTGGTTTTTAAATGGCTTTAAACTGACAAAGGATAGGTTTAGTTGAGATATTAGGAAGACATACTTCATGGTGAGGGCTCTGGACAACCTGGTCTAGTGGAAGGTGACCCTTCCCATGGCATGGGGGTTGGAACTAGGTGATCTTTAAGGTCCTTTCCAACCCAAGCCATTCTGTGATGTACAAAATAAGTTGCCATTCAAATATAAATAAGGAAAGGAAAAAAAAATCCTTGTCCTAATTTCAGCAGTACATTTTTGAAATTTCAATTTTAATAGCATTTTCACATTTGTTTTAGACTTTTATACCCATCTTTAATCACATACAAGTGAAGGAACAGTTGAGACTACCAGCTGTAGATTAGTGTTTGTGATGATTCTAACATAACTGAGAAATCAAATTAGTTTTTAGCAAAGTCTAAATTTTAGCAGTTTATCACTGTATTTACAGCAACTATTTACTCTCACTTACTGTGTGTATATATGCATGGGCTTTCAAAATATTTCTAGCAACAGTAAGTGAACTTTTTGTTATTAATATAACTGCTTGAAATGAATTACAACTATCTTTACAAAATGGTGAGGAAAACATTAAATGTTGAGAGATAGTGTTTATAAGGTCAGGTGGAGAAGTAAAAATGGGAAAATTATTTTAAATTAATCACTGTATCTGTTTTAACATCTATCATGTGTCTCTTGTTTATACCCACCGTCAAAACACCTGGAGAATTTCTCAACATTTTAAGTCCATTTCTCTTGAGGTCTGCATTTACTGACCTCTGAACTGATCTGCTCCAGCATATCCTGTGTTATTCTGCTCCTTCTGGCCCTTTGCTAGGAAAACCCTCTGATAGGTTCCTCCCTATTCATCCCCTGCAGGGATGTGCACAAATATTATAGAAAGAGAAAATAGAGAACCACTTGCAGTGGGGTTAGTCGAGCTCTTACTGAGGAGCACAGTTGCTTTATTTTTGTGCTGGGCTGGCCAGAAGCTGGAAAGGGAACGTGTGGCACCATTTCCTATCACAGTCGGATAAGGAGATTGCCTTCCACAGCTGGATAAGAGGCCTTTACTGAAGAAATTATTCTGTAAGGAAAAAACTAATGGGAAACAGACCTGCAGTGGACATAAGAAATATCTAAAGATGCTCTTGGGAGGAACTTTCAGCTATGCAATGCTAGCAGATACAATTATAGAGGATTGTGAAACCACATCTGCCAACTGAAATAACTGGCAGTGAACAAAAGATGATGAGTGAAAGAAAATAACCATTGGCATGGCTGTGAAATGCCTTATCTAGTCATTTCCAGCATCTGTAACAGAGCACATTCCTGGTTTATTTGTGGAAGCACAAACAAGGTTCAAATCTGATGGTACAGCGGTGAATAAATTTGTAAAGTTCAATATTATAACTTTACAATACTGTAAGGTATCTGAAAATCAGGTGTGTTTGTGTAGTGTCTAGAGCTGCAAAGAAAGATGGTTTGTGTACTCTGGAACAGGTTTCCATTTCTGTTTCCTTCCCTGCAGGATATATTGAAGAATGATGACTGGTGCATCATTTGATGTCACTGGCTAAGCCTGGCCTGACCCTGTCAAACCGCCAGGGTCACTTTGTTTGCTTGAAGAACCAGTTTCCTCACAAATAAAAAAAAACCAACCCACAAACCTTGCAGTAAGCCCTTACCTATGAGCACACTAGTTTTCTTTCTGTCATAAACGACATACTGTAGTCTGAGAGGAACAAGAGCACTGGTAATACAGGTCTTCCAGAAATATTTATGGAGAGATGGGGAAGCCAACTTAATTTGCTTGCAAATGCAGTGACCTCCACGGGCAGTTGTATTGGAGCAGCCCATGTATGACAAAAAAGAACTGAGGAAGGTCAAATTAGTTCACCAGCCAGTGTGTCCAAGAATGTGTCCACTTCTGTGAACATTCTACCTGCAAATGGGCCTGTCTTCTGTGAACTACTTGCCACCAGCATGCTGGCTAAGGCAGGATTTAAACATGATTTGTGACATCAGAAGCAAATATGTGCTAGGGAAAACAGGTTCTCTGCCAGGCTAGAGCTTAATCTCATGAGCGTGTCTGTCTTTCACAGAGGAGTGAAACACATGAGCAAGCTTTCCTAAATTACACACTAATCTACTTTCCAGTGACTCTAAAATTTATTACTGAAAGTACAAATAGCTGTCAGCTTGGAACTAATTAAAATGTTAGGATTAACCTAAGGTGTACTGTTGCCCAAGCTTTCAGCAAATGAGAAAGGTGTAGAAGAAAGAAAGTGGGCATTTAACTGGTACTGTCCTAGAACAGAGCTTTCAATATAAGTAAAATATCTGATGACTTCAGTGAAGGAATGGATTTCTTATGCGATAGTTAGAAGTTTGCAGAAGTTAGGTGTGTCATGTAAAGTCATGTACCACCTTACCTGAAGTAATGATGTTCTTAGCAGAGGGACCGGGAAATCTGGTTCTTCTAATTTATAAAAGCAAATAGAATTTATCATATGCCACTTCTTACCAGCTGCAGGAGCTGAGGATTGCTTCATGCCTACCCCATAGACATGAAATTATTTCATCTAAGGGACTATATATATAAAAATAGAACTACATATCAGTCTATAAAAACGGAAAAATTATTAGCACCGTTAGCTCCATGTAAATAGTCAGGGTTGTGGGTGCTGTACAGTCCTGATTTGGACACTGTTGCACACAGGCACAACACCGGACCTTGTATTTGTACATGGATCATGGGTGGATCAGAGGCACTTTCATGTGGCTGCCAGCACGGAGCTTCTGAGGCAGGGAATGTGGGGATGTGGGATACCCCCCTCTGACACAAGGGTGTGCAGAGGCTGGAACTGCAAAGCCATTCTGCTTCCAGCTGCAAACCCCGTTCTGATGTTCCTCGGTGGGGCCATTAGGAACAATATCCTGCCTTCAAACTGTTTCTCAGCCAGTTGGTCTGTTTGGCTTTTTCCTTCTCTCCTTCAGTTCCTTAGGTCTAGCTCTTGTCTTCTACTTTCAAGAGGCTTCCTCCTCCCCTGTGCTTTGTCATTGGGAAGACAGAAATCGGGAGCATGGGAGGAAAAGCTTCTGGCTTATTTTCCAGATCAGCAGCTGAACCTAAGAGGAAAACACGCTGGCTGCTGCAAATCAGAACATGAATCTTGGGGGAGTTTGGTTGAGTTTTTAACAGACTTGTACAGAGAGGAGCAAATTGTGATATTATGAGAGTTTGTAATGTGGCCAGAATTCATACAGCAGTCAAAGGAGCATCTGAGTCCAAACATTCAATGTGGGAAGTTTTGGTCTAAGTCATGAACATCATAATTTTAACAACTGAGAACCAAACCATTCTCAGTGAGTAAAGATTCAAGATACCTGAAAAGAAGCAGCTGTCAATCCTACCTTCAATTCCGCGGTTTTTGCAACTGGGGAGAAACTAGCATTGTACCTTTTAAATTAGTTATTTCTTTAATTTGATGATTAAGTCCATGGACTGTTCAGTGCTTTTACCTCTGCAGTATGTAGCTATCACAATTTGCTTATATTAAACCAATATTTTTATATTTTAATTTTGAAAAGATTAGATGTTTATTCTCTCTTTCTGCCTTGAAGTCATCATGCTTCACTGGTAGCATAATTTCTACAGAGAGTAACAAATAAAACATAATGGCTTCAAATGAAGACAAAAGCAGAGAAACAAATGAAATTCCTAAAATCTAAGGGCTTCCAAAGAACACATGCAAGAAATACAGAAAAATCTAGGGTTTATATAGAGAAACATTCTAACTAAAATCCTTTCCCATTAACTGTGAGTCTTAAATTTTGTGTACTAACTGATATGCCTGGGTGCTTGTGGCAGAAAGGTAATTGGCTAATAACTTATGAGCATCTGCAATGCATTTGAGAAAACTGGCAGTCAGTCCTCGTTGGTCTGAGGGGCACTGTAAACAAAGTGAGACTTGTACATTTTTTTCTAGAGAGATGGGCAGTTGAACTTCACTTTCAACTATTGCATTATTCCCACAATGGAACTATCATTCAGCCAGCCAGACATATTAACCAAGCAAGCCATAAATTCCACAAGATCTTGCAATTGTATTTTTCAGCTTTTTACTTCTTGTAGCCTTCCTAAAAGTTATTGCTCTTTCACTGGCATCTTCCCACGTATATAAAGGTTCTGTCAGCTCTGACCTTCAACGTGGACTTTTCCCAGGTGCTTTCTATCGCTTTCTGAAGTTCCTGAGCATATGCACCATGGAGCCATCATCAATCAAACTCGTGTCTCTGTGCACTGTTCCCATCTACTGCCCGGTGTCATCCCGACACTGAAAGTTTCAAAAAATATACATTTGACTTCCACTGACCTGAGTTTTAAATTCATATTTAGAAAAAGTCCTGGTATAAATTAGCCATTGTGATAGTTGGCATTTCTGTGATGGAAGGGTTTTGTCACCCCTGGCCACTCTCACTTCTCTGATTTCTAGAAGTGAGGAGCTTGTTGACCAAATAGACCTTCCAGCCTTGTAGGGAACAGCCTGTGCTTAGAGCTTCATCGTGTTACCAAAGCATAGACCTGCCACGTGGCTTCTGTGGACTCTGTGACGTGGCTGGGGGAGGAAGGTTGTTGTAGGCCTTCAATATATGTGAAACAATTGATTTCCTTAACTGTGTTACATATCTATGATTTCTAAGCAGTTTCCTGCAGGGGCAAAATAAGCAGGTAAATGTACTGTACCCTTATTCCAGCCCTGGTGTGCAAGGGTCATGAGTCAGTCCATCAAAAACAATCACAGTGTTGGCTGAGAAGTCACGAGACTGAAATACTAGTAATTCTGTGAAGAAAAAGACTTGATGCTAGGGGTAAAGTGGGAATATGGAGAACCCCCAAAGGGAGATAGAGCTTCCAGAAAGACAGGCCCATCCACAGGGTGCCAACTCCACTGTGCCTTCCCACCAGCTCTCAAGCACTCAAATTCTTCCTCGGGTCTCTTTTCAAAATCCAGTTGGTTCCCTTTCTTACTTCCAAGCTTTCTGCAAAGCCAGGGGAACTGGTAACTTAAATTCAGCTAAAGTTAAGGCCTTAGGCCTGGCCTCAGTGCCCCAAGAGTAGGTGTCCTTTCATTGTAACCTTGCATATGAGGAGCTGTGCTGCATTTGGGTTCTGAACACCTGTTTCCACCCCCAAAACAACTGTGGTGGTGTTGTCCTTCCTTCTGCACTGCTCTTATGCAGCAATGTTGTGTTTAGAGCATTTCTCAAGTGTGGGAGACCTGGCTTCAGCTCCCATTTTTGTCTGAAAAAATGCAGGATTTCATTCCTGAATGAGCTTTCCGACCTAGAGGTTATTTTGGAAGGGAAAGGAGAATAACCACCTATCAGAGCTTCTCACAATGTATGTATGCCTGACTGCAGCCTTGTTGCTCTGTGTTGTCACAGAGCAGTAGAATAGCTTAGTTCCCACTGATTCTTTTCTGATTTAATGACGTTTTAGTGCAAAAAAAGTAAATTGGTCTTTGGGAGCGTGTAGCGTGATACAGACCCCCATCGTGGGTGAGTGTTGTCTGAAGCCTAGGGCTGAGAAACTTTCCTCCTCTTTCCTTTCCTCCCTCTTCTTGCAACCAAATCAAGAGAGAGAGCTGCAAGTCTCTTCCCCCTGTTCTGTTCCCCTGTAGTGTGAGTGCCTGCAGTACTTTGAGGCTCATGCAGCTGAAGGGAAGGCTGGGGCAGCTGCTTTCTGCTACCCTGGAGCAGAGTGTGAGTTTGAGACACAGGCAGAAGCAATAATGCATTAGCAATTGCTTAATAACTTCTTAGAGCCCAGCTTCTCTTGAGCCACTGGGGAGAGCTACAGCCAATTAGTTGTAAGAGGGCGGCGGAACAAAGTTAAACTTGAAATTATTGCTGGAAAGGTGAGCTGATAAACTTTAGACTAAACTAGTGTATTAGCACTACAATGGAACTATCAGCTTCGTTATAAAGCATTAGTATGACAAATTAGTGCTTTGATCGTGCTAGATATCACCATATTCATTTGTTTAATTAAACAATCTAGGCTTCTCTTGGTGTGGGTCATTTTAAGAAATGTTAAAAATAAAATTAAACACATAATTAAGCTGACAAGAGATAAAGACCCTTGTGCAGCAAGTTGAAGGCAGTTAATTTATAAGGAGCCTGGTCCCTGAAGGCTGTGTAGTTTATTAAAGTTACTGAGGCAGAGATGTGATAAAATATTTTATGTAGTGCTTTAAAGGCTAAATTGCTCTGACACTTTTAAAGTCCATGGGATACAGTCAATTAGAATGTCTTGTTATCATGTTTTTTCCTCATAAGTAATCTAAACAAAATCCATAGTTATACTAATAATTTCTTAAAGTTTCCAGATTAACCTTTTTTTTCCAATACATGTGATGGGCCTCATCAATCACTATGGTCATAATAAAACTCATCTGAAACATTGTGTCTATCCTAAAATGACAACATAGAGATCAAGACTAAATAGGAGAGGGATTTAAGTTGGAAACTTGGTCAAAATTTAAAAGCCACTTGGTCCTGCAGATTTCCAGGTACAATCCTCTTTGGATGTTCTTGGAGCTACCAAAGCAAAGGCCTGTAAAGGTGCTGGATAAGGGGAAAATATCTGTCTTGCCTTCAGTG